AAAACTAGTGAAAATATATAGATCTTTTTAAAACCATAGTAGTCCCTCTAACCAAACGCCAATGCAGTTCCTCATAACTACATAACTTAAGTGAGTACCTTAGGGCAGGGCCACATAAGCCTACCTAAGAAAATCTCAGGGCCGTAGAGCCTACCCAAAGGTCGCCTTAGGTCCGTAAGGAATTACCAGTCGGTGCAGAACCTATAAAAGGAATTAACCGCAACGACTGAACCTGCCAGAGTCTTCATACTAGATCCAGAGTATCCCGAATAAAACATTTTCATTCGATAAATAGAAATTAAAAATCAGAACAAAATTCAGATCAGATATCATAACAGAATCCGTATCAGATATCAAAGTAGAATCCGGATCAGAAATCATAATAGAAATCAGACAAAACATTCATGTGATTAGGGAACACACTAGATATTCCAGATATGATTCAGAGATACAAGATAATCTTATCAGACAGAGAAACACCGATCTTCAATATACTGATAGAATGTCAGAAGTTAGAATCACTATCGAAAGAGTTCGTTAGCTGGTGGAATCATCAGTTATTCAGAATGTGATTTATCAGTATCATATAGTATTCAGACACTTTTTGGAGGCACTAAGTAATCAGAAGGGTATTCAGAATCCTTTGCATCTGAGTTACTGGTGTTTATATATTTGTCCAGAGCAATTTGAGCTGATAAGGGAGATCGAATATTCAAGAAATTTATCATATATGTTGATCGGATTATTGAACAACTCGAGCTAAATAACTCCCATAACTTATGCCTGTCGAATGATCAATTCATTGTCCTTCTAGGGTATTTACTATTTAATACCAACAATTCTTGTCCATAAATCATCTTCAAAATCATCGTTGAATATATTTTAAGGAGACGAACATATATTTCATAGGTCTTTATTTCATTTCCACATTTCAATGGTATCAGGAAATGCCGACTTACTTTATTTTTGGTTGATAACCCATAGGGATAGTACATCATACAAGTTCATCAGAGTTTCAAGACTTGTCCAAATCACTTACTTAATCCTCAATCACTGAGGTTGCTAAGTTCATTTATTAGTCAAGTATATTCTGGTCACTTCAGAGTTTTCATATTAATTTGGTCATTTCAACGATACAGATACGTACAATACTTTCATTCAGTTCATTTCAGAGCTGTGGGTATTAGAAATTCTAGGTTTTAGAGGTACTTTAGACCATTTTACACTTTAGGGGAATTTTGGTCATTTTACACTTTAGGGGTATTTCTATAATTCCAATCTAGATCTGGAATTTAATTCGATGATTCCAAGGTTCCCGTGAATCAAGGTATGAGTTCTCAGGCCATCTATATTATCATAGTCATCCATATTTGTTTTTACTCTTTAAGGGTATTATCGTAATTTTATTCAATTTCGACAGTGGCATTACTTATGTAAATTATGCTTGAAAGTATTTCAATTCCATTAAAGATCAGAGTACTTTGCTCATCTGCTCACTGGAGGCTAATTTCACCACTAAGGAAAGTCTTGGCCCATTTTAGTACAAAGGCATTTTCGTAATTTATCCATAGCGCTCCTTTCGGTAATTTCATATCCAAATATTTCCTACATTTAATCCTTAATGAGATTAGTCAGAAATTACACTTTCTGAGATGGATTGATTTACTAATTTATTCATTGAACTGAGATTTGTTTCCGATCAGTATGCTAATTTCTTTTTCGAGCCGTTAGAGTATCATACAATGTTTCATCCTTAATCTAATTTCTGTATGATTCCAAAGATAGTTAACTACCCTAATGGACCAATTATTCCAATCAAGCAATTATCATCTATCCCTCAGTTCCGAAAAGCATACAAAAGGTAGTACAACATTACCTCGATTTCTGTGCCATCCCAATCGACCATTTAAATTCAATTTGAACGCCCTCGATCTTGAAATCAATGTCCAATAATTTCTCAGATACATATCAATATAAATTTCATCAAAAACGGAGTTTAATTATGAAAAACAGATCGAATAGGGTGATAAATCAGTGAAAAATAGCTTATCGGGTTTGAATTTGGAAAAACGGACTTCGGAATTGGACTCAGGAAGTTGAAAAACATAAAATATGACATTTTGAAAATTTTGACTTTTTTGGTCAAAGTCAACGGTCAATAGGTTGACTCGGTCAAAGTCAACGGTCAACGAGTTGACCCCGTGAGTTGACTCATCCGAGTTAACTCAGTGCAAGTTGACTCAGTCGGCTTGGCTCAACGGCTCGGCTTAACTAGTTCACCAAGCTGCCAGACGAAGCCCAGTCGTAGGGGTGGCGCGTGGGGGTGCGTGCGGAGGCTTAGGAGGTCGGAAAAATTCCATAAAAATTTCTAAAATTATTTTAAAGGATTTTGAGACACTTACCAATCTCGGTTCACAATTTTAAACGGTGGAGAGCCCGATTCCGAAACATCGGAAACTTAAACTTCCTCACCCCTTCACGCGCCGGTGACTACGGAGACAAGAAGAACACCGGTGGACTCGGAACGATGCAAGGAACACGATGGTGCGTGAAGAGTCGAAAACGGGTGGTCGGATCGACCTGAATCGACAGAAAATCAATAGCGATCGGGTTAAAACCGACGATACTTCCGGTTGAGATTTACTGCGAACAAGTCCGATTCACAACGATAGGTTTGAGGGGTTCATCGGTCGGGATTCGTGATAATATTTTGTTTCGTTCGTTGATAATTTTTTTTTAGTAATTTGTTCATATGTTATTTTTTAAAGAGATTGTCATTCTTTTAAATGTTCAAAAGAAACTTCAAATATTTTATTATTGGAGTAAGGATATACTTAGAGCAGCAACTACCGCTAAAGGGACAAAAAATCGAAAAAGTAGATAAAATGTAATCCTTAACAACCATTGACATAAAGTAAACTAAATTTATCATAATGACTAGGAATATCAAAAAAAAACTAGTTATGTTCGTTCATTCTTTTATTATCATAAAAGATGTACACTAAATTAGATTTTTCTTATTACCAATGTTAGTATGATTTGTCTAAAAAAAGCTTTACACTATATTATTTTATTAATTGTTCTATTTTTCCTTAAGCTAGTATATCCTGCGACGGCTAGGAGCATAAAAATGACTATTGTTTTATTCTCATAAAAGTTGTACACTATATTAGATTTATCTTATTCCTAATGATAGTTATTAATTGCTCTTTTCTTCACAATGAATATTTTGTAAGGGCTATGAGTTTAGGAATGTTCATTCTTTTGTTCTCATAAAAATTGCATTGCAACTCAGGTTTTCTTATTTTTAATGCTATTACAATAATTATAACTTAAATTTATCTTACTTCCAATGTTAGTATATTGATTGTAGTGTTAGAATCTAGATGTTTCTTTCTCTTTATTATCGACTTTATTTTCTTTTGTTATGCTGGATTTCTAGTACGCCAATCTAGTTGTTCAAATATGCGTTCCTTAACAAATTGGAATGCAAACGAATTTCAAATTAGAACGAACAAATTGGAACGAGATTCGTAGGGGTAGGGGCGAATTAGGTAACACTGATGAAAATAAAAGAATGGACATTCCTAGGCTTCTAACCCTTGCAGAATATACATGGGAAAGAAAAGAACAATTAATAACTAGCATTTAGAACAAGATAAATATAATATAGTTGAGAATAAGACAATGAATATTCTTATGCTCCTAGCTATTGTAGGATTTACTAGCATGAGGAAGAAAATAACAATTAATAAAATAATGTAATGTAAACTTATTTAGAAAAATTTAAGTTGCAATCAACATATTAGCATTGGTAATATGAAAAATTTAATGCAGTGTACTTCTATTATGCTAATAAAAGAATGAATGGACATAACTAACTTTTTTTTTATATTTATAGCCATTGATAATAAACTTAGTTTATAACTTTGTGTTGTTAAGGATTACATTTTGTGTACGTTTTCAATCTTTTTTCTTTTAGCATACTAGTTGTTGCTCTAAGTATATCTTCTTAATCTAGTAATGAAGTATTTAAATTTTCTTTTGGATATTAAAAAAAGGATAGTCTCTTTAAAACAAAAAATAAAAAAATGAACATATGAACAAATTACTAAAATAATTATCAGCGAATCAAACAAGATATCATCACGGATCATGATCTCAAAATACGTTTCAAAGAAAATTACCCACGAAACCGCAAACCGTAAAAATAACGAATTGTGATCCAGTACCCATTCCGCGAACCTGAATTAAGTAACACTATAGTAGAATATGAAGCTCTGCCAATGTTTTATAAATTTTAATAATGGTTATCACTTATGACTGTTATCTTGCCATTTGCTGCTATGACTGTTATCTTGCCATTTGCTGCCTTGATAAACCTAAGGTTGTTTTCTGATGTAAATAAATGTTGTCAGCAACTCCACTTTCCTCATTATTGTTCTAGTGGGCTTGCATTTGTTTTTCTTGGTATGTTTTCTCCATTGAACCTAAAAAGTTCCATAGGTTTCTGCCGAGTCATTTGGTTGAATATAAATCCTGTTACCCTAGCTTTTGTGTGCACTATATGCTCTTAGCAATTTATGGCTATATAGAAAATTCTGGGTCTTAGTAGTTGATTTTTTGTTTAAATGACATAAGGAAGTTTTACTTCCACATTTTTAGTAGTTTGAGGTGCTTTCTTGTTCTGCGTTCGTGTGACCATTAGTTTTAGAAAACACGCCTAAGGTGTCGGACGCAGTTAGGTGCCGGAACAATCGCCTCCGGTGACACAGGCGAGGCGGTGAACGGCTGGCGCGCGTTTCCTTTAGCACTTTTTCACGTGGCCATTCAATTCCACACCGTTGGTTTTATTTTAGCCCCCAATTGGAGTTTTCCTTTCTCTGTTGAGCTTGTTGTTGTTTGTATTCCCGAAATTTTAAATGCTGAAAGAAACTGTTCAAGAATTGTTAGGATGTTGCTGTCCTTTTCGTTCAAACTATGCATCTTGGTATCGCTACTTTGTATAAACTACAATGGGTATATATTTTGTTGTGTTTGCGGCAGATAAGAAGGTGATTCATTCAAGTGGAGTGAAGCAGATGGGGGGAAGCCATGCACATGGGCATGACGAACCATATTACCTTCATGCTAAGCATATGTACAACCTGGATAGGATGAAAAATCAAAAGCTGAAGATGTCTCTTGGTGTTTTCACAGCCTTTAGCATTGATGTTATCGTTCCCGTATATGCCGTAATTTTTCAGCAGAAAAAGACTGCATCTGGCTGAAATCTGGTGATAGGATGGCGTTTTTAAATGGTTTGATTCAATGATTTTGCACAGTTTTGGTGATTTTCCATTCACCGATTGATTGTGGGAAATTATACCATGAGGGTTGATTATCTTCTGCATGTTAATCATATTTGATGCCTTCAGGTGTGAATTTTTGCAAGGGACGTGCATCCGTTAGAATTTTGTCCTCTATATTTTACTTTTTTCTATTTAAAATTTAAAATAACATAATTTAAATGATATATTCATTCAAAAAGAAAAAAAAGAAAAACATATATTACAAATAAATTCAAAAAAATATTATTATATATGAATTATATCAATTTAAATTATAAAGAAATATAAAAAATAAAAACAAAACATATAACTATAAAATATTTATTATTTATCATTATTAATATTTTAATATATAATTCAAGAATTTTATTAAAAGTAATAAATTAATTTTAAGATGTTAGTATTAAATTATTAAAATAAAATGTAAATATATAATTGAGTGAGGCCATGTGTGATTCCCTAATTTCGTATGAACGATTCAACTTGGATTGAATACGATCAAAGACCAGTTGGAATCGTTTGTGTTATTATCAATTTGCTTCAAGTGGCTTTAGTGGTGTGAAAAGAAAATAGTTGGTGAAATTCTGTGAAGCATTGCGAAATTCGAAGACGAACTGGTCGTGGCTTAATCGTGATATTTGGGGTTGGGTGATCATAATTTAGAGCCCGAATTTGTATTTAAATTAATGCTCATTTTTTAATATCAAATACCAAAAATATTAATCTTCAAGTGTCCCCTTTACAAGAAAAAATCATGTGGCCTTTTTTTACATAACCAAAATCCATTTTAAACTTAGTCTCTTAATTTAAGAAAAATTTTAATTTGATCCTCACTTATGCTCGAGGTTCTATTTTTATTATTCGAATCAATAATTAATTAAAATTGGCTAGGTCTTGAAAACATTTTGATATTTCGATATAACAAATAAATGTGTAAATTAATTTTAAGATTTTATATTCGATTTAAAATATTATATTCGATTCAATTATTCGAATATTACAATTAATACTCCAAGTTTTCAAATATCAATTTTTACTCCTTACTAAATGAAAATTTGAGTTTCACACTAAAGATATTTTTGAAATAATTTTTACAAAGTATTTCGAACTTGAATCGAGTCAAAAATGGATTTTCAAAGAGGTAGTATCGATACTTCTACAGTATCGATATCATGCCTATAGTAGTACCGATACCATAAACACGGTACCGATACTACTCCTTTGGTTTTCACTCCAAGATTTAACAGAATGCCAAAATTGTATCGATACCATGTTCGGTATCGATACTACTATGCATAGTAGTATCGATACTCCTTGGACGATATCGATAATACTATATATAGTAGTATCGATACTCCTTGAAGGGTATCGATACCGTTGAGTTGTAATGGTCGAAATATTTGAATTTATAACAGGTAGTATCAATACCCCTTAGTGGAGTACCGATACCCATACTCTCCCAATAACTTTTTGAAGTGGAAAATATACAACAACAACTCTATTGACTACATGATCATCCCCAACATTCAGAATTCATTCAAGGGGTATTTAAACAAGTTTTGAAGACATTGGTGATCAAGTATTGAGAAAGAATTGAAATAGAGAAAGTCTTAAACTCATTGTTTGAGCAAATCAAGCCAACATCCATTCAATATCCATTTTACTTTCAAGAACACTATTTGTGCTCAATTGTATCTATTTCTTGAGTGTTCTGAATTGTTCTGAATTGTGCAAACAATTGTTCTTTGTGAGGTTTTCTTCTAAGTTTGCGAAATTTGTAATTTTCTCTTTGAAGAGTGTGTCTCAAGAATTTTGGGTATAATTCTTGAGGGGGTTGTAAGGTTACTCTTTGTCCTCAAAAGAAAGAGAAATTAGTGAATTTGTGGAAAATCCTTAGTGTGGATAGCTAAGGTAGTGGATGTAGACTTTGTTGAGAAAGTCGAACCACTCTAAATTACTGTGCAAATTATTTTTATTTTTTGTCAAGCTTCCACCAAAATTTTTAATTACCAATTCACCCCCCTCTTGGCTATTTCATCAGATCGATTGACTCAACAATTGGTATCAGATCTAGACTCATTTGAAAGTTTTACCACCTCTTGAGAAGATCCGGGAAGAGTTCAATTGTTATCTAAGTCATCCATGACCTTTACATCAAACTTCGAGTTCGTTCTTGATTCTCAGCCTGTTAACAAGCCTACATTCTTCAATGGAGCTAACTACGCCTATTGGAAGAATATAATGAAGTTCTTCATTCAAGCTAGTGACATGGGAGCATGGAACATCATGATGAAAGGTTACTCTACACGATTAACAGAACCTGAGATGTGGAGTGAAGAAGAGACAAGACAATTTCAGATCAATTCAAAAGCTATACATATTCTATTTTGCGTACTTGTACCAGATGAATACAAAAGAATATCATCTTGTTCAACCGCAAAGGAGCTATGAGATAAGCTTCAAGTATCTCATGAAGGAACTGACGAGGTAAGAGAAACACAAATTAGTCTTCTTAATCGTAGCTATGAAAATTTCAGGATGAAACCAGATGAAGATATCAAAGCTATGATGAATAGATTTTCTGTAATTTTCAATGGTCTCAAGGGATTCGGAGAAATAATCCCTAATGAGAAACTTGTAAGGAAGATAATTTATTCTCTTCCAAAAGCTTGGCAATAAAAGAAAACTGTAATTATTAAAGATAAAGACATGAAGTCTTTAACTCTCGATGAGCTAATTGAATCTCTCCTCATGCACGAAATGATGATCAAAGATGAGGAAGATCAAGACAAGAAAGACGATACAAAGAAAGAGATGAAGAAAAACGTTGGTGTTGCTCTCAAATCAACCAAAGGTGAGAGTGACGCTGATGATGACGATGATGAAGAAATGACATTACTTGCCAAAAGACTAAGAAAATTAATGAAGCCAAATAGAGGAAGAAAATTCCAACGCAATGAAAGCTTCAAAAATGAGTCCAAGGAGAAGGACCCAATCATATGCTATGAGTGCAAAAAGCCTAGGCATATTAAATTCGATTGCCCACAATTGAAGAAAAAAGGTATTTCAAAGAAGAAGCATCAAGCACACGTGGCTACTTGGAGAGATGATGATCATCCGATAAAGAGGAATAAGAAGTAACAAACTTGTGCTCAATGGCCACTGAGGAGGATTCTCAGGTAACCTCTAACTCATCCACGTTAGAAGATTATTCTTTTGATGAGTTATTACAAGCATATTATGAGTTGGCCTCTAGTATGAGATCTTATTTACAAAATACAAGAAACGTACTTTAAAACTGAAAGATGAAAAAGATCTCTTATTCAATACCAACATTGAACTCAAAAGTAAGATTAAAGAATTGCAAGTCAAAATAGACGATTTTGAAAAGAAAAATTATGATTTGCAAAACTTACTTTCAAGAGTTATTGTTGAACATCAAAAGAAATTTGATGATCTTAAAGCTTCTTTCGATAGAGTTGGATCAAAACATTTCAAAAAAGGAGAAAATTTAAAATCCAACTATGTTAGAAAGAACTTTAAAACTTACACTCATAGAGGTCCCCAAAGAACTTCGAATGGTAAGATCATTAGGAGTATATGGGTTCCTAAAGGACTCATTGCTACTAAAGATAAGGATATCCTAAGAAAATGGATACCTAAGGGGAAAAAGCTTTCAGGAACTAATGAATATGTACCCAAAAGAATTTGGGTACCAAAAATAAAAATTTAATCTATGTTTGTAGAAAAAGGAGCATCGCTTCAAGGCACGAAATACAAGCTCAAATTTAGGGTACCTTGATAGTGGATGCTCAAGACATATGACCGGATACAAAAATCGGTTTTCAGAGCTTAACGACAAAAATGGAGGAGTAGTAACCTTTGGTGACAACTCAAAAGGTTACATAGAAGGTATATGTACTATAGGTAATACCACTTCCATACAAATAGAAAATGTTTTATATGTGAAAGGCTTAAAGCATAATCTTTTAAGTATTATTCAATTGTGTAATAAAGGATACAATGTATTGTTTGAATCAAACGGTTGTAAAATTTTTGACATTGCATCTAATAGGATTATGCTTATTGGTCATAGAATGGGGAACATATATATGGTGCATTTATATTCGATCAACATGACAAATTTATGCCTAGTAGCCAAGGATGAGCATGATAGTTGGTTATGACATTGGAGACTAGGACATACTAGTATGAGTGTTTTATAAAGACATATTCAAGGCAATTTAGTAAGAGGTTTACCAAAACTAAAATGTGATAATGATAAAATTTGTGATGCATGCCTTTAAACCAATTAATGATGTATCAACTAGTAGAGTATTGCAATTGATCCATATAGATCTTTTTGGGCCAATTAGAACTACTAGCGTGGGTAGAAAACAATATGATTTTGTATTGGTAGTGACTATTCTAGGTTTACTTGGGTTCTTTTCTTAAGTACTAAAGATGAAGCTTTAGAAAACTTTATCACTTTTTCAAAAGTAATCCAAAATGAAAAAGATTACTCCATTTCAAGTGTTAATAGTGATCATGGTACTGAATTTGAAAATCTTGGATTTACTGAATTTTGTAATTCATATGGAATTAGCCATAATTTTCAGCACCTAGAACCCCTCACCAAAATGGAGTTGTTGAGAGGAAAAATATAACTTTAGAGGAAATGGCTAGAACCATGCTTTGTGAAAACAATTTGCCAAAATATTTTTGGGTGGAAGCCACAAATACCGCTTGTTATGTGATAAATGGAGTAATGATTAGGCCTATTTTAAAGAAAACTCCATATGAAATTTTCAAAAATAAAAAGCCTAACATTATTTATTTTCATCCTTTTGGATGTAAATGTTTTGTTTTAAACAACGGTAAAGACAATCTTGGCAAATTCGATGCTAAAAGTGATGAAGGAATTGTTCTGGGTTATTCCTTAAATTCTAAATCATATC